TTGGATGTAAGTTATGGTCTCTCTGAGGTATATTCCCAGTAGTGGAATTGCTGGGTCAAATGGTATCTCTATTTGCAACTTTTTGAGAAAGCACCACACCGCCTTCCACAGTGGTTGCACCATTTTACACTTCCACCAACAGTGAATAAGGGTTCCAGTTTCTTCACAACCTCGCCAGCATTTTTTGCTTGCTGTTCTGTTAAATTTTGCTATTCTGACTGGGGTGAGATGATATCTCAAAGTTCTTTTGTACACATCAATTATTAAAGACCTGAGGAACTGTGAGAGAATATCAAAGAGGGTATCTATGAAGATAACAAAAGGCCATAAAAATAAGAGAGGAAGAAAAAAAGCAAAATAGATGTCTTAGGAGAGACTATAAAAATTGAATTAGTATCAAGAGGTGCATATAAAAAGAAAAGATGTCAAAGTGCAAGAGCTGAACAGATTTCAAAGGGTGGCTGAAGAAGACAAAGCAAAATATTCTAATGTGCAAAGAGGTGGAGTCAGATTAAATCTGAGCTGCACTGACAGCATTGGTAAAAAAATACAGACCCAGAGAGAAATCTATGGAATACGAATTGGTAAGTTTTGACTCACAGATGCAGCCCTGGACATGCTTACCAGACTTTGCCAGGAAATGTAGAGGAAAGCTGCCTGGATGGGTGACAGGAAGAGATTCTTATATTGCTAACACTGAGAAGAATGGGAATCCTAGAACACTTAATCGTGCTTGTGAGAAATCTATACCTAGATCAAGAAGCTGTTGTCTGACTACAATAAGGGAACATTGCATGGTTTAAAATCAGGAAGGGTGTATGTAAGGGATGTATCCTTTCTCCATACCTATTCAATCTGTATGCTAGGCAAATAATTTGTGAAGCTGGACTCTACAAAGGAGAATGTGGCATCAGGATTGGAGGAAGACTCATCAACAACCTGTGTTATGCAAATGACACACCCTTGCTTGATTAAAGTAAAGAAGACATGAAATATCTCAGTATCAAGAAAACAAAGGTCATGCACATCATGTTTATCACAGCTACTCTAGGGTCCCTGCATTTAATTTTCATCAAAAAATTAGGCATTTTTCTTTTAAAAAAATCACTTCTGCATCCCGATCCTTTCCTTTGGTCTTAAACTCTAATTATACGTTAGATGGCTTGCTATTATTTCATACATAGTTTGCTTAGGCTCTACCCTTTTTGTTCTGTGTTTCATAATTTTCAATGTTTCTCCCTGATATCTTCTGTGTTTCTAATCTTCAGTTAATCTCATTCAATATACTTTTTATTTCTGATATTTTAAGAAGTTTTACTTGGGTCTTTTTAATATATCTTTCATTTATCTCATTATAGCCATAGTTTCCTTAACATTCCTAAATATATGATTTAAAGTAGATGCTTTAAGGTCTTTGCTTGTAGAATTCATAATCTTTGCCATTTTGGCACCCATCTATCTATAGGTTATGGATCAAGATTTCTTTTCTTTCTTGCAATGCTGGCTTTATTTATTTGTTTATTTTAATTGCTAGATACCATGCTTTCATATTGTTGAGTGCTGAATTTTGCTGTTTTCTTTTAAAGAGGGCTCATTTTTGTCCTGCATGCAACTTACTTAAAAGATCAGATTGATTCTTATAAAATTTGCTTTTCTACCTGGTTAAGGTGCTTTACTTTAGTCAATATGGTTGAATCCTGGAAATATTACTCAACTGGCATGTGAATGACAACATCTCTCCACTCTGGTCAGTATAAACTTGGACTATTTCTAGCCAACTATTTTCTGGGTCCCTTTCCTGGTTGTTTCCCAATGTATTTACAGATGTACATTCACCTAGAACTCCAGAGGACCTCTTTCTCTCTCTCTAATGCATTCTGTGCAGCTGCTTTAAAAAAAAAAATTATATTTTTTGTGTGTACCATCAAATTGGATCTGAATGGTATAGGAGGAGATTGCCCCTCCTTCTCCAGCAGAGCATCTGGTGCATTAAAACCCTTACCTTGGGATTGCAGTGCAGCTTCTTGCCACTAGGCCACCAAAGATCCCTGCTGCCTCTTTTCTTGTACACAGTCCTATACCTTCTAGCCACTTTGAGCTTCAACTTTTCACTTTTCAGTTCAGCAAGATTACTGAGCTCTGTTTGATTTTGTCCTCCTCTGGAAATTGCTTCTAATATGTAACATGAAGGCAATATGCTATATTACCATTGTTGTAAGGATTATATTCCTGTACTGCTATTGTTCAGTATCTATCAACAGTCATTGCATTTAGTCTGCAAGGTGTTTTCTAGCTGTTTATGATCAGAGGGCAACTTCCGAGATCAGTTAGTCATTTAAAAGCAGAAACTCCCTATGTTATTTTTTATTTACCTGAATTCAAATTTTCTCATTTGCATATAAGCTAGGCCAGAACAGAAGTCTTCCTTACCTTTGTAGATTTCTCTAATGGTTGATCATATTGTGCCTGGTGCATAACATCACTGACTATCATCTTAGCAATCTTCCAAGCTAGTTCTTCTTGGGCCTAAAATAAGTAATTAAAATGTTTATAATGACTATTTAAAAAAAAACAAAAACAAAAACAACAACCTTCCAATATAAAATATTAAAAAGTTATTTCTTATTTAGAAGTGCTCTAAATCTGTAAGTATTATTTGTATTTATTTGGAACTAGCAGCACATTCTCATGTACGAGCGGATCTCAGCCACTGTAACAGAATGTAGTAGTATGTCACCCACTATTTTAAAGTCAGCTATTTATGTACCCAATGCTATGAGAATTTTCATATTGTATGGTAAAAATAGTTTTTCTATTTCCATCATTCAATAATACACTTCAGTATTTAAAAACCAAGTCTCCACTTCCAAAAGTAAAACTTTCAGAAAGAAACATTTTTGTTTTCTTTTATATTGCTTACTGATACGTATATGTAGATAGAAACCTGAATGCATGGATATTCTTCCCTGGGAGAAGTTCTCTTCATTGCCAGGCACTTACTAGATGCTAAGAAAGGTAGCCTTTTCTTGCTACATTTGGGTTGTGCTGTGATGTGTAACATGGAAACTAAAGTAGAAATCTATAATTTACTTATATTTTAGGTGTGTTTAGGAAGGGAATATCTTTACATTAAAAGTAGAATTTACCTCATTGGTATTTCCTTGCACCCACTTCTTCATAGCCTGTGAGAACATGGATCCTAGTAAACAAAGCCAAAATGGAATGATTTCATGCACAAATATACAGAAGAAAAAAATGCTCTTATGTATAGGCTGCTACTTTTGGAATATGGGTATTCATCTTTCCTTGCATAATACCATTCAAAATATTAAGGACGGTAAATATTTTTAAAAAATGGATTCTATTTCCTCCATAAAAGACTGTGAAACTTATAAACATTATTTGTTCTAATTTTATTATGGTAAAATATGTAACAGAAAGTTTGTAATTTTAAATATTTTTAACTCAATAAAATGAACCACATTTACTATGTTGTGCTACCAGAAAAAATTTAGAAAGATTATTTCAGAATTCCAGATTTTTCTTCTCTTTATGGCATGGTGGTTGAAGGAATACATTTATTTATTCTTATTTAATAATGTATTTTATTTTGTTGTTGCTGAGCTTACCTATACACAGCAGAAATTCACACCAATTTAAAAATTTCTCTCTCTGAAATTCAGTGGCGCTGGTTACATTTCCCCAAGTTATTCTTCCCCCTTAACACAAATCCAGTGCTCCCTAAACTGATCTCATCTTTCAATTCACTGTTGTCCCTTTGATACCATACACATAAATCTTAAAGGAGCACAATGCAAAAGTTAAACATTCTTTACTAGTTTGGTTTTAGGAATAATTATGAGGATATTTTCGGTTTAAGTAATCTAAGAGCTACTGCTTCAGGGATTTAGTCACCCTTTACGTTTTCAGAAACCTCCAGGATCTATGAGCATTTGAAATTGTATTCTATATTGCTCCTGACCCCCATATCTCTCCTACTGATCAAGATTGTTCCATGAAATCTTTGATCAAAATGTTCATTAACCATAGGTGTACCATCTAGTCTCATGGCAAAAGATGGATTTATCCCTGGAAGCAATCAGTCCCATATCTTCCACTTCCTTTTTCTTTGTTTCTCCATGAGAAGAGATATTTGTATGCCTTGGGTGGCTTGTAATAGAAGCACTAAACACTTATTATGGTGATTAACTGTGATGTCCCACAACATCAGGGCTTTAAACTTCCAAACCATGAAGTGACAGGTTATATATAAGCAGCCCCAGTAGCTGTTTTTGTTGTTGTCGTCATTGTTGTCAATACAGGTATCACACCACGTTTGTAAATTCAACTTTATCTAAAGCCATTTTATTAGCTGCAATTACATATTCATCAGCTATGCAATCTTACCCTTAAAAATGTGGTTATTTTTTTCCCTCCCATCACCATAAACCAGGACTCAGTACTTCGTCAAAAATAATCTTTCCCTCTTATTCTTGCGTCTACTAAGCACTAACAAACTATGGTCTCTATCCTTTTGCCAATTCTTGTCTTTTTATATAAATACAGCCATATGATATCTATCCATTTGTGACTGATTACTTTTATTCAGCAGGTCTTCAAGCTCCATTCATGACACAGCATTTATCTTACAGGCTGAGTAGTTCATGTATATGTCTATACCATATTTCACTTAACCAGCTGTTGATGGTATACTTCTTAGCTGACAAAAGAAACTGTCATCTACTGCTAGATTTATAGAAAAGGACTTTGATGACAAACTTTTCTCAAATAATGTCTTTCTAGAGCAGCTTTCCCAGATCACATAATCTAAATTAACCTCTATTAAGTCACTTTATTTTCTCATTCACTGTTGTTAAGTGCCATCACTATCCATATTTTGTTCTTCTCTATACTTCTTTACAGTCTATTTTGCTTCCATAGAATATTGCTTCAACAACAGCAGAGATTTTGCTATTTTTGTAATTAACTGCCTCTAATATTATTTTACATTGTATCTGGTGGCTGTTGCTGTTAGGTACTGTTGTTTTGGGATTGATTCACAGCTGATCTTTCAGCAGATTTTTAGAGGCAAGAAACTGTATGAGAGGAGAATGAGCCACTAGAGGATCTAAACAGTGATTTTTTTTTAACTACGTGCCTTTGGGTTGACAATGGAGCTTCTTATCACTCGACCACCAGAGCTCCCTAAGGTACCCGACAGACATTCATTACTGTTCAATTAAACAAATTATTAGTCTGTGTAAGAACAGTATGGCTGACATACAAATGGTCTCATCTGACCTCCACAAAGGGGTAGAATTCCCACCCACAGAATCCACAGTACCAAGCCATTTCTGCAGCTCCTCCTAGCTCCTTCCTTCTTCACATCTTTCCCTCAATTCTAACACTAAGCTGTCCCTCCCAAAGCTCTTATTGCTCTATGATTATGTCTGATACCTGTTAAAATGGCTACACTAAACTCAGAAAATGTCCACAATTATTAGAGGGTTTATTAGAAGACTAACATCTTATGATTCAAGTAGGAACAAGAGGGAGCTCTCGTGGCCTAGTGGCAAGTAGCTGCAACTACAATCTCAGAGGCGCACGGTTCGAATCCACCAGATGCTCTGCCGGGGAAGGAGGGACAATCTCCTCCTGTAACAGTCAGATCTGATTTGACGGTACACTCACACAAAAATAATAATAATTAAAAAAATTAAATAAAAAAAAAAAAAAGGTAGGAACAAGATACAACTCCTCAGTCAGGGTAGCTTCTAAGGTTTGCCTGCAGGTGCTCGGACTTTCAGCTAGAAGACAAGACACAGAGCAGGATCAGAGTTTCAAATGAAATTTCTCATAATAAAAATGCATTTTCTTTCCTTTAAAATACTATTTTACTAAGTTAAAATGAGTACACATAATATAAGAAGCAGAATAAAATGTCCTAAAGTTTATTAACAGCTTAAAAGACAAAGGAGAGATGGAAAAAAGGGGAGTCACTGAATAGAAAGAAGTTTCTTTTTATGCTGATGGGAAATCTGGTGATGATAGTGGGTGATGGTTATATAACATGACTAATGAATTCACAGAACTGTAAACCTGACAAAATTCAACATGTATAGCTCCAAACTGGGAGAATTAAAGACCTCAAATAGTCAGCCATGCAAAGAACTGTGGGTTAAGGGCTCTACAAAGAAGAAACTATAAGCAGTTCCCTCTTACGTTAGAGGAAAGAATCTGGCTTGGAGGAATTGAAAGCTGGTCAATGTACCCAGAAAAGAAGAGAGCAATGGGTAGAGTAATAACAAATAAATTAGGCAAGGCAAGGCTGAATAGGCACAGCAGCAGTCCAACAAAAGGTTTTTATCTAGAGAATGACTTGATTTGGGATTACATTTAAAAAGAAAATTGTTCTGGATGCTATAAGGGAATGGATCAAGAGATGCAAGACTCTAAGTAAGACAACTACTATAATACCCTAGACAAAAATATTGGTACATGAACACTAAAGGCATTTGGATGATGTGAGACTAGAAAAAAAAAATGAAAAAGTGAAGAATTTAAAATGTGTTTTGTTACAATTTATCAAGAATCAGATGAATGGCATGTGGAGCGTAAAGAAAAGTAGAGTCAGATTTAAACGAAGATGACATTTGAACAGAAAAGACATTGTGGGGAAAAGAAAGTATTTTGCTTTTGATTTATTAAGTTATAGGATACCTCAGAGAGAGGATGCACTAGTGTAGAAACCAGAGTCCATCATTTCCACTGTAACATGAGGAAAGAACAAAATGTGAACAGAAAAGGCAGGAAGAATGTGGCTCTGTGATGGGAAAGACAAAGGGGTGCTCATGGTTGCTATCTTCTGAACAGAACATACGAAGCCATCAGCTGATAATACTCACTCAAAGCACAAACACGACAGAAAAGCTTTGAAAACAAGATTTAAAAAAACTAGCTATTTTATAGAGTAAGGGATGAATGTGAAGGTGAATTTGTAAGGAAAGAACCTGTAGAAGAGGTAGGTAGGCTATGTGTCTATCTGAGGCTTATTATGACAGGAAATTCAACTCTAGTAGTCAGATTTTTCCCCCAAAGTAACATTCAACTGTTGGCTTACAAATCTGCTTGCTCACAGTATACTGGGTGGTACTGGATGACAGATTACAACTTTTAATTTGTACCCTTGGCACTGTGCCTAGTATATAATCATTCAAATGCCTACAGTGTGAATTAATGAGATTTCTAGCCTTTTATAAAATACATTAATTTGCCAAAAATTACTTGACTTAAAGATACATCGGGACAATTAGTTGAAACAAACAGGATGAATGGATGGGATAAACCAACAGGCAATCATGTGGGTGTATCTCAACTAAATAAATAATGAATTAACTTGACAGGCTAGATTGCAGACAATCTTTTGTCTCTGTCTTCAAATATACCCAAATCTGACTATTTTTCTGCTACTGGCCAAATTCAAAACCACTGTTATCCCTTACCTGGACTATAGCAATAATATTCTGTTTCCTGGATTCTCCTCTTAAACCACTATATTCTATTTTCCAAAGAGCTGCCACAGTGGTCCTTCTAAAATATAAATCAGATTATGTCACTTCCCTACTTCAACATCTACCAATATCCTAAAACAATTATGACCTCTGGTAATCTTATTCACATTCTACTAGCATCCCTTGTGTCTACCTCTCCACCACTTTAATCTTCTTGTGTAGTATTCATGTTGCACTCTCCAGCTCTATGTTATTTATTCTTATTCCTTTCGTAAAGAAGGCTCTTCCAGATATTGCTAGAGCTTATTTTCCTACTGTATTCAGGTCTCCATTTGAATGCTTTAGTGAGATAATCACATCATAATTTTACTCTGTCTTTTGTTTTTTTTTAAATATAAATACATGTACATTCATGGTTCTTTTTTGTTTATTCTCTAATCCAAACAAATGCTAAGGTCTATGAGGGTAAAAATTTTCTTTACTTTCTGGTACTTATATTAGTAGATGTATAAAGCAGTCATTAATGTTTTTTACAGGATGAATGAACAGCATGAAGAGACTGAGTGGATAAACAAGTGGTCTGAGAAAAAAAACTTACTTTAAATACTTCTTCTCCCCCTCCCCCTTTAAATCTTTAACCACTAAGTTGTTACTAGGAGTAGGAAAAGAAGGGGATGGAAGTAAAAAGAAAAAAAGGAAAGGCAAATAAAACAAGGGAAAGATTAAATATAGTTTATTAATCAGTTACAATTAAAGTTATGAAACAAAATGTGTATAAAAAATTGAATGAAAAGCCAATCAGATCTCTAAACTTCAGTACAAATGAAAAACAAAACTAATCACAATTAAAAACATTAAAAAAAGAAACAATAAATTGATGAATAGAAATAAAAATTACTGACAGCCAAGTGGGACATGTGCAATTTCATTGTAGCTATCAAAATGGATGCTCCTGAACGAAATGTCTAGTAATGTATAGGATGAAAGCTTAATTTGCTTTATACTTTCACTCAAATCACATACACAAAAATAAATTTAAAAAAGTTAAAAAAGAGGGGGAAAACCCCACCTCCAAAACCAAATACCACAATGTAATAGATCATAGCCGAGAAACAAAAACCAAACCTTTAACAGTTGTTGTTTGCTTTAGAGTCAGAACCCACTCAGAGCTGATCCTCTAAGTAGGTTTTCAGGGACAGTGAATCACACAGGGGGGGATCATCTATCCTTCTCCCATGGATACTTCTGTGACTGCAGTGCAGCTTATTCCCACTTCCAAAACACAGCCCTGCTTGCTCAAACTGAGGACCTGAAACACTTGCTGCAGAGGTCAAGGACTGTAGTCTTCAATGTATTGAAGCTCAATATCAAGAAGACAAAGATTCTCACCACAGGGCCAAATGGAGGACCATGATGGATGGAGAAGAGATTGTGGTTGTTAACAATTACAGCTTGCTCAGCTCCACAATCAACATTTTTGGCACTAGCAGTCAGAAAATCAAAAGGTGAATTGCATTAGGTAAATCTGTTGTCAGAGACCTTTCCAGTCTAGAGAGTGAGGTGAGCCTTATCTAGTCCATGGTCTTCTCAATTACTTGCTACGCTGAGTAATTGAGAGCTGAATAATGACTAAGGATGATAGAAGAACTGATGCCTTTGAGTTTTGGTCCTGGAGAAGAGTCTTGAACATACCATGGACTGCCAAGAAAACAAATTGGTCTGTCTTGGAGAGGACAAAACCAACTTCCTCCGTGGAGGCTAGGATTTTGAAGCTCCATCTCACCTACACTGGGCATGTGGCCAGGAGGGACCAATCCTTGGAGAAGGACATCATGCTCCGAATGGTGGCAGGACAGTGCAAGAGAGGAAGACCCCAGATGAGACGGATTGATACAGTAACTAGGGCAATGGGGGTAACGGAGTCGGTGAGACTGGCTCAGGATAGGGTAGGCTTCAGAGCTATATCATACATCAAATTGCAGGTGATTGATGGCACATAACAACAATATATTAATTTATAGAAAACAAATAAAAAATAACCAACACATATTTTGAAATAGTTGCATTTCTTCATTAGCTGCTAGATGAACAGAAGTAGCTTAAAAAAATCCAAAAACTCATTCAGGGATTTTTCTATTAAATCTGTAACTCTGTAGTTTCTGTTTGTTTTACTACCTGATAATAATGTAGGGACCTCTTGGCCAATACCTTACAGTGGTCACCTACTGCTCCTCTCCTAAAAAGAACCACCAGTAACCTCCTTCCAGTACTCTTCTTTGACACAATCAAAGGTATATAACCACTAGTGTTTGACCAAAAACTCACAGTCACACAACCACCACCACCACTGGTGTGTAAATTTCTGAATGGCAGGATCTGTATCTTCTAAACTGCCTACTGAATACTCATAAAGGCCCCCAAAAATTTACTTATTGAATGACCTACTATGCAGATTCTCCTTTGTTCATCTGTGTGCTGAAATCGTGTAAGAAATTACATGGATAAACTAATAAAGTTAACTTGGCAACAGGTACTTTTTTGTTTTAGGACATTTATAACTGATGTTACTGAACAAGATACCCACAATGAAACTGTGAACCTCCTGCTTCTTCCTCGTGACTCTTATTTCCCCTAATCCTAATACCTTGAAATTTTTTTGCCTACTGAGCATAAAGCCTGCACAGATTCTGTCCTTTTGAGCCTGAGTAGCTGACTGTTCTAAGGAGTGAATAACTGTATTATATCAGTTGCCTCAAAGATCCATGAGTTGGCTGAGTTTTGTTTCATGGGTGAGTTGTGTTCAGGGTTTGAAGGATGACTAAGGGTAATTAGCATGGCATCCCCAAGTCTTTATAGGACCAGGAAGGCTGGCTGTTTTTATGTTTTGTTACACAGTTTTTGCCCTCTGTCCAGAATAACCATCTATTATGTCTTCTACATGGTCAGCAGTAAGGCACCATCTCGTTGTTCTGGCTTTAGGCTGTGTGGATTGAGGTATGTGTAGCCCATTAGTCCTATGGACTGTTTCTATCCACTTTTGCTTTTCTTTTTCCTTCTTCACTCCAAATAAAGAGAGACCAAGAGTAGTACCTTAGAAGGAATGAGGTTTGTGTAGCCCATTAGTCCTATGGACTGTTTCTGTCCACTTTGCTTTTCTTTTTCCTTCTTCACTCCAGATAAAGAGAGACCTTAGAAGGCTGCTCACAAGCTTTTAAGACTGTAAAGTTGTAGTTCTCTGAAGTTGGATACAGAACACTGTCTTTGTGGACTATGTTAAGCCAAGTGATTTTGACTGCCCAGCACAGCTTCTCACCATGAGGTCAACAGAGCTTCCTAAGTCCTTAGGACCAGCAAGTCATTCCCTCAATGTGTTTGATTATGATGATACTGTGCTGATCATCCCATTACTGTGTAGTGTTTGACCCTTCACTTGTCCTAATTCATATCTATTATCTAGTTAGTGATTTTTCCCTCCCCTCATAAATTATTTTAAAAATTGGTGAGATTTTTTAAAAACAACAAAATACTACTATTCTATCAATGCATAAATGATAAAAGAATGTATTATTTATCCAAAAATGGTGTGCAATAATTTAATGTTACTGTTGAAATAAAAAGAACAGAAATTTTGTCCTTATAATTTAAATTCCATGAGAATTTTAACAGGAGTTTTACTTTTAAATGCAATTTCTTCTTTAAAGCTAATAACCTTTAAATCATTATATGAAGTCTTTGTTTCTTCATTTGTGAAATAGGAGGACAGTCATGGTGGTTATTACACACACACACACACACACACACACACACACCCCCACACACACACACACACCCTACCCCCTCATACAAAGTATCAAAACATTACAAACCTTTTGACTTCTTTACATCTGGTTCAGGTTCAGATTCTCGGATAAATTGGCCCAGGTCACTGACTCTGCCAAACGTCATTTTTCTACATAAGAGTGAAACACAGAATCTAATACTTAACAATTATTAGAAAACTTAGAAGGGGAAACTTCTCAAGTATATAATAACTAAATCGAAAAAGACAGAAATATACTTCATATATCTGTTTGTTTTTATAGCAATCAGTATTCTGTTATTCAAAGTAGAGGTAAATAATATAGAACTTTCTCAGATAATGCAAAATAACCTTTAAGTCAATAAAATTCCTTTTAAAATCTCAAAAAGAAATCTTAAAAGATGACAATAGGTAATTCACAATTCGAAAATACACGTACAAAAGGAAAACGATAAATTTTACAAAAGAAGGGTAGATGACATATTCTAATAATGGTACTTCAGATTTCTTGACATAATTTGGCGAGAAAGTCCAGGTTTGCATCTGTTTTTTGAAATATGTCAATTGGTATTCTATCAATTTATTCTTCAGTTCCTTTAGCTTGAGAAATACTGAGCAAGTTTGTCCCTTTAGATTTTCTGACTAAAGCTACCTCTGCACATTTTGTAATAATACTTTACTTTGTCTTCTCTTGTTGTCCTTTGAAATCTTCTGTTAAAGTCCTTAACTTTCTGAGTTCTTCCCATTGTTTGGTTTCTCAGCTAGAATGCTGCGAATATTCAGAGTCTCTCAGGAAATCTATCTTGGTCTTTTCTTCCTCCACTGTGGGGAGCCGAATCATCAAATTTAATATTAATAATAAACAAAATGCTGTATCAGGATTTAAGGGAGGTGTAATATAAGCTAGAGTTTACCCTGGGGCACTAAGGCATTCCTTAAGAATGCAAAACAACGTAACATTGCAAAACAACCATGAGATATCATCTCACCGCAGTAAGAATGGCAAAATTTAACAGAACAGCAAGCAACAAATGCTGGTGAGGTTGTGGAGAAACTGGAACCCTTATTCACTGTTGGTGGAAGTGTAAAATGGTGCAACCATTGTGGAAGGTGGTGTGGTGCTTTCTCAAAAATTTGCAAATAGAGATGCCATTTGGCCCAGCAATTCCACTATTGGGAATATACCCTAAAGAGACCATAACAGCCACCCAACCAGATATATGGAAATCCATGTTTATCATGGCTTTGTTTACAATAGCAAGAAGTTGGAAACAACAAACGAATGGATTGAGGAGCGGTGGTATATTCACACAATGGAATATTACGCGGCATTGAAAAACAAGGAACTCATGCAGTATTATTCAAATGGGTGACCCTAGAGGACATTATGCTGAGTGAAATATCTCGGTCACAAAAAGGACAAATATTGCATAGCACCCTTGTTGTAAAACAAGACTGACATGGGCTAGGGGGGACACTGAGAAAGATGGGATAAATAATGCATACTGCATTGAAACAGCTGAGGGAGAAAACTGTTTGAAAGGGATATGTGATTAGGTATTATTGTCATGACAGGAGTCTAGAATTAAGGCTGTATAGAGAAGTAGACCTGGGGGGAGGGATTGTAAAACAATGAAAAGAATTTTTCTTTTACTGTTCAAAGAGAAGAGAGTACTGGGGGTGGGGGGCAGGGAGAAAAGTACAACAATGAATGAATGGAAATCCAAAGTCTGCAAATTTTCATTAAAATTAATGTTGTTGTTGTTGTTGTTATGTGCCGTCGAGTCGTTTCCGACTCATAGCGACCCTATACACAACAGCCCTAAACCCTGCTCTATCCTGCGCCAACCGCACTGCCTATGACACACACATCCCGATTACCCCAGTCACTGAACTGATCCATCCCATAGAGGGTCTTCCCCTCCTGCGCCGTCCCTCCACCCTCCCAAGCATGATGTCCCTCTCCAAGGACCCGTCCCTCCTGGCAACATGTCCAAAGTATGTCAGACGAAGCCCCAGAATCCTTGCTTCCAAGGAGTTGCTTGGTTTAATCCTCTCCAAGATGAATCTGTTTGTTTTCCTGGCAGTCCATGGTACATTCAGTACCCTTCTCCAGCACCACAGCTCAAAAGCATCCACTCTCCTTCTGTCCTCCCTAGTCATTGTCCAACTCTCTGATGCATAACAAGCGATTGCAAAGACCATGGCCTGTATCAGGCACACCTTAGTCTCCAGAGAGACACTATGCACAACAGAATTAAAATTAATAATATTAAAAAAATTGAAAAAAAAAAAAAAAAGTTCAACATTGTTCTTAGTTTGTATTTACTGAATCCCTCCCTCCTGAGATTAGCATAAGGTAAACAATAGAGAAGAACTCTGCTTTATCTGCAAAAGACTTCCCCATGATCCTTTGTTTTTATTTTCTACTACCCTGTGATTATCTTTTGTTCACCTTCCTGATGATTCTCAATAAATACACAGAGAGGCATGGCTTAGGCACTTCAGTCATCAGGACCGCTGGCCCCCTGTCTTTACTCTCTCTTATCTCATTCTTGGTAGTAAACAGATGCAGTCCTGGACGTGCTCAACAGGTTGTGCCAAGAAACCTGGAGGACAGCTACCCAGTCAATTCTAGGAAAGGTAGAATTACAGCAATGAAAGGCAAGTATTGGGAGGATGAGATTGATTGGCATGAACCATTTTGGTGATGAAATGCTCTATACTTTTACTGAGGTGGTAGATGTACCTACATTATTTGTGAAAAGTCACTGAAGTTGTACACAAAAAAAGTTACCACTCAAAACTCAACTTCTTGTTAAGTTGGGACTGACTAAAAACTGACCCTCTAGTGGGTTTTCTGAGGCTGTAAATCATATCCAGGAGACTGCCAGTCATTCTCTGAAGGAGCTGCTGGTGGATTAAAATCTCTAAACGGGTGCCACATTGGAGTTAGCAGTGCAATTGCCTATTAATTATGCCACCAATTTATCTACATAAACTAGACTTAAAAAAATAAATGCAATAGAACACAAATTCAGAAGAGACTATATGAATATACAAAAATATGTCGTTATGTGCTCTTGAGTTGCCTGCAATCCACAGCAACCCTATGTACAGCAGCCCTGAACACAGCCCTGTCTTGAACCAGTCTCACTAATTCTGAAACACCAACCCCCATTGTCTCAGTTACCGTATCAATCAATCAATCAATCTCATCCGGGGTCTTTCTCTCCTGCACTGTCCCTCCACCCTTCCAAGCATGATGTCCTTCTCCAAGGACCAGTTTCTCCTGGCCACATGCCCAAAGTATGTGAGATGTTGTTGTTGTTATGTGCTGTTGAGTGTATTGTACAACAGTCCTAAACTCTGCTCTGTCCTGTGCCAATTGCACTGTCTCTGATACAGCCATTCTGATTACCCCAGTCACTGAATCAATCTTCCTCATAGAGGGCCTTCCCCTCCTGCACTGTCCCTCCACCCTACCAAGGACTGGTCCCTCCTTACAACAGGTCCAAGGTATGTCAGACGAAGCCTCAGGACCCTTGCCTCCAAGGAGCAGCCTGGTTTAACCCTCTCAAGGATGAATCTGTTTGTTTTCTTGGCAGTCCATGGTACGTACCCTCAATACTCTTCTTCAGCACCACAGCTCAGAGGCATCAATTCTCCTACTATCACTGTCCAACTTTCTGATGCATAACAAGTGATTGCAAAGACCATGGCCTGTATCAGATGCACCTTAGTCTCCAGAGGGACAACCACTGCTCTTCAATACTTTGGAGAGATCCCTACCACCTAACAGCAGACTTTCCCCATCGCAATATATCTTTTAATTTCCTGGCTGCTGGTGCCAAGAGTGTTGACTGTGGAGCCAAGCAAACTAAAGCTGAGAACAATCTCAATCTCTTCACCATCCATCCTGATGCTGTCAATTGGTCCAGTAGTGAGAATCTTTGTCTTCTTGATTTTGAGCCTCAATCCATATTGAAGGCTGCAGTCCTTGACCCTCTGCAGCAAGCACTTCAGGTCCTCCTCAGTTTCAGCAAAGCAGGGTTGTGTCATCAGCATAACGCAGGTTGTTGATAAATCGTCCACCAATCCTGACGCCACATTTCTCCTCATAGAGCCCAGCCTCCCGGATCATCTGTTCTGCATACAGGTTGAAAAAGTATGGAGACAGGACACATCCCTGGTGTACGCCTTTCTTAATTTTGAACCATGTAGTGTTTCCTTGCTCTGTTCTGATGACTGCCTCTTGGTCCAAGTATAGGTTTTGCCATTAGCACGATAAAGTGTTCTGGGATTCCCATTCTTTTCAGAGTTAGACAAAGTTTGTTATGATCCACACAGTCAAATGCCTTTGCATAATCAATGAAACACAGACAGAGAGACATTCCTCTGGTATTCCCTGCTTTCAGCTAACATCCATCTAACATTAGATATACTATCCTTAGTACCACGACCCCATCTAAACCCAGCCTGAACTTCTGGCAGTTCTCTGCTGATGTGCTGTTCCAGTCGTTTTTGGATAATCTTCAGTAGAATCTTGCTTGCATGGAAGATAAAAGATGTGGTTCTATAGTTTCCACACTCTGTTGGGTCACCCTTCTTAGAACTTCAAAATCCTAGCCTCCAAGGAGAAACTTGGTCTCACCCTCTTTAAGACAGACCTATTTGTTTTCTTGACAGTCCATGCTATGTTCAAGACTCTTATCCAGCACCACAACTCGAAGGTACTGATTTTTCTTTTGCCATCCGTAGTTATTTTCCAGCTCTCTGATGTAAAGTAATTGCAATTGCAATTGCCTGAATTAGGTACACCTTAGTCTCTAGACTGGCATCATTCTTTTCAGCACTGTGGAGAGGTCCATGATAGCAGATACTCCCAATGCGATTCATCTTTTGACTTCCTGAGTGCTGATAGTGGAGCCGAGCAAACGGTAATTGCTAACAACCACAATCTCTTCTCCATTTATAATGGTGCTGCCAAGTGGCCCAGGGGTGAGATTCTTTGTCTTCTTGATGTTGAGCTTCCATATTGAAGACTACACTCCTTTCAGCAAGCACCTCAGGTCCTCCTCCGTTTTAGCAAGCAATTATTTGTGTCATCTTCATATCATAGGATGTTGATGAGTCTACCTTCAATACTGATGCCACATTTCTTCTCATAAATTCCTGCTTCCCAAATAATCTGTTCTGCACACAGATTGAAAAGGTATGGAAACAGGACGCATCCCTGATGCACTCCTTTACCCATTTTGAACTATGCAATGTATCCCTGCTCTATTCTGAGGACTTCTTTCTGTTCCAAGCATATGTTTTGTATAATGAAGTGTTCTGGCATTCTCATTTTCCTCAAGGTTTGCCACAATTTGTTGTGATCAACACAGTCAAATGCCTTTGCTCAGTCAATGAAACATGGACATCCTTCTGGTACTCTGCTTTCTACTAAGATCCACCTGACACTGGCAATAATGACTCTAGTGCCACAACCTTTTCTAAAATCCAGTTTGTATTTCTGGTAGTTCTTTGTCAATGTTCCAGCTGTTTCTAGATAATCTTCAACAGATTTTGCTAGTGTGTGACAGTGGTGATACACTACAGAATAAAGGTTAGCGTCTCAAAATAATGATGAAAGATATGCTACTAATGGGTGTTGGCTAACTAATGCAAAAATTCATTTCCTATCTCATATCAGCCTTTAATGGAAAAAAAAATGACACCATAAAATATTAGAAGAAAACATGTAATATGTTTGGCATTAAAAAAAGAAATATCTTTAAGTTATAAATCATAAAAACAGACAAAATAAATAATAAAAAAAAGATAAAAGTCTCTATAAGAGATGTTATTCCGTCCATTCACAATCAACCCTCTTGGTACCAGCAGTCAGGAAATCAAAGAGCAGTAGGAAAATGTGCTGTCAGGGACCTCTCCAGAGTACTGAGAATAAACAATGTCAGCTGAGAGACTAAGGGTGTGCCTGATTCAGGCCAGGGTCTTTGCAATTGCTGGTTATGCATCAGAGAGCTGGACAATGATTAAAGATGACAGAAGAAACATCAATGCCTTTGAGTTGTGGTGCTGGAGCTTATTGTTTTTTTAAATAAATTTTTCATTTTATACTAGTTTACTTACAAAGTTCATATACTTTGTTTTTCATGAGTCTTTTTGTTTTTTAAAGAAATTTTTCATTTTATACTGGTTTACTTACAAAGCCTATATACATTGTTTTTCATACTGGATCTTTCCCATTTCCTTTACCCACTCCTCCATCTACTCATCAAATTGTGCAACTCTACGATTAGGTCCCTGTCCATCCTCTCCCCTCTGCTCCTACCTGCCCCTTCCCCTTGGATCCTCATACACATTTTACTAGTTATCTTACACATTTTACTAGTTATCTATTTCTACAATAATGGTCTTATACAGTATTTATCCTTAGAGGACTGAGTTAGTTCACTTGGCATAATGATCTCTAGTACCTCCCAAGGTAGGTAGTCACTTTCAAAAATCATTGCTCCTGCATGCTACATAATATTCCATCATGTGAATGCATCCTATTTCTCAGTCCATTCAATTGTGGTTGGACACTGGCTGTGTCCACATTCTTGCGATGGTGAATAACACTGCTATGAATATTGGTGCACAAATCTGTTTTTGCTTCAGCTTTCATTTTCTCAGGGTATATTCCAAGCAGTGGAATAGCTGAGCCATATGGAATTTCTATGTTCAGCTTTTTGAGAAAACGTCAAACTACCTTCAAAAGTGGTTATATCATTTTACAATCCCACCAACAGTGTCTAAGAGTTCCTATCTGGGGAAGTTTTAAATATACCATGGACTGACAAGAAAACGAAGAGGTCTGTCTTAGAGTGAAACCAAGTTTTTCCTTGGAGGCTAGGATTTTGAAGCTCTGTCTCAAAAACTTTGGGCATATAGCCAGGTGGGACCAGTCCTTGGAGAAGAATATCATGCTTGGAAGGGTAGAGGAACAGTGCAGGAGAGGAAGACCCCAGATGAGATGGATTGATATAGTAACTGGTGTAACGGGGGTAGATGTGTCAGGGTCAGTTAGACTGGCTCAGGACAGGGCAGGCTTCAGAGCTGTTGTAAATAGGGTCTCTATGAGTTGCAGGCAACTTGACAGCACATAACAATAACAATGATAAGAAATCAATAAAGTTAAAATGTAAAGAATATTAAATGCAAAGTGGCTATTATAAACCAATGACTAATATCCACGAAGACACAGAATTCTAGTATTAAGAAACCATATGTAAAAAGGATATGAATAGTCAGTTTACAGAAGAAAGATCTGAACCCATGAACTTATCAAAAGAAGTCAGACATTATTAGACATTATCCAGTACTGGGTGAAAAAACCTCAAAAAATCTGATCTTCTTTAGAACTGACAAGAAAGTGGGAAAAACTAGTATTGTTATTAATGGTTAGTGGTAATATAAAAGAATATTGTTTCTGTTAAAGGTAAATCGGTAACAACAGACAACTAACTCATTGCTGCTGAGTTAGACCTGATTCTAGCCAGCCCTCCAGCAGGTATTCATCAGAGGAAATCACAGGGGAAGAAGCTGCCCATCTTTCTCCTGAGGAGCTACTGCCAGCCTCTTGGTTAGCAATGCAACTCCTTATAAAATTGATATAGTTTCTTAAAATAAAAACCATCCTCTTCTTGATAAAGTGAAGCAAATAAAAGTAGGTCTTTTGCAAAATTCTAAGTAACAGAGACAAACTGCAAAAAAACTTTAGTATTCATCAATACCAAATATTGCAACACACTACAAAATACCTGCCATTATTATGAGCTGTAATTAATATTATATATGAGTACTACCACATACTCTGGTGGCCTAGTGTAAAGAAGCTGTGCTGTAATCCCCAATGCACGCATTTAGAAGCCACCAGCTGCTCCAGTGGAGAAGGATGGGTATTCTCCTCTCGTGCAATTAACTGCCAAAGAAAACCCTCTGGAGAGTCAACTATTGGTCAGTTCTGACTCTATGGTATACACCAACTACAACATGAATAATACAACATGTATACACTAAGAATGAAAAATACTAAAAATTCACTGTTAATGATACAAAACATACAATATCAATTATATAAAAATAAAACAGTATGCAACTGTGCAGATCCTGAGCACAAGCAGAGAAGATTAGAATTGAGGTGTAATCAAATGGAGCAGTAGGCCTCAAGACAGATATATTTGGGCATAATGGCAGTGTCTTAAAATAGTGAGAAAGAGGGATGCTACTCATTTAGGAAGAGAGCTCTAGTGGCCAAGTGGTAAGAGGTATGCTGTCAACCTAAAGGCATATGGTTCGAATCCACCAACTGCTCTACAGGAGGAATAAGGGCAATCTCTTTCCAAGTGATTTACTGCCTCTGAAAAATCTGTTAGTGGGTTTTCTATGGGTCAGTTCTGACTTGATGACACATAACAACAACAATTCCTTATGATGGTGGTAGAAAAAAAAAGACTGGAATAAATTACGGTCAGTTTTTATACGTAAATGAACAATCTAAATGTAGTTTTTAAGTGCAAAGCAATATTTTATTCCACTTTTTAATGAATAAATGATGCTGGCATTTAAAAATTTATTTTAAAGTATCCTTTAAAAAGCAGATACTATTCCCATCAAACGAAGTGTACAAAGAGCATAAAATGTACTATATAAACATTACATTCACTAATCTTACAAATGCTAGTAAAATCATGATGATAATCATAGTAACTAACACTTAAGAATGTATATTAGATGAATGTGTATTAGATGATTAGAACACTGGATGGTGAAAACAATGCACTTGACTGCTAAGAGAAAGACTGGCAGTGCCAATACACCCAGAAGTGCCTTGAAAGAAAGGACTGAGGGGAGCTCTGGTGGCCTAGTGGCAAGAAACTGCACTACAATTCCAGAGGCGCATGGTTCGAATCCACCAGATGCTTTGCCGGAGAAGGAGGGACAATCTCCTCCTGTACCAGTCAGATCTGATTTGACGGTACACACAAATAATAAAATAAAATAAAATGAAAAAGAAGAAGAATCTACATTAGAACTTACTAGTCACTGACATCTCTATGGAGAATAAATCTACCTTCACACACAATGAAGTAGCCTCAAGTTTGTCAATGGCAAATGCTTCTTATGTCTTACTTTACTGAACCTCCCTAGCAAGCCAGTGGAGGGAGTACCTAGTGATAAGAACCTGTGCTGTAATGCCACAGGTATAAGGTTCAAATTTACCAGCTACTCTGTAGGAGATGGATGGGCAGTCTCTTCCTGTGTGATTTATTGCCTCTAAAAAGCAATAGGGTCAGTTATGGATCAGTTCTGACTTGATGGCACACCACAATCACCACCACCACCACCACCACCACTAACCTCTGAAGCATGAATTTCAATTTATAGAGGCAAAAACCAGAGGCACAAAGAGATTAAATAGCATGTCAAGAAGAACTAAGTGAAAATTATAGCCCAGGGAAGTCACTCCATAGAACCGATTCTAATCATGCTGCACTACAAACTTGTATGTAAAAACACTGGGCATATATTAACAAATTAGTGAGCTTCATTTTAAAATGATACAAAGTTCTCTACACTTGCAAAAATTCCAGATATAAACCAGCCTTACCCTGCATAGGTTCGTTGATATAGAGATTCTGGATCCAGACTTGCAGCATCCACAATTATTGCTTCATCAAAGTTTTTCAGAATTTTAACACTGGGCTTTTTCACACTAGACTACAAAAAAAGGTAATATTAGTAATATACTACCCAAGAACCAAATCAATCCTGTGTCTGAAATATGTATCTTTATCAACTTTTTCCTCAGTGTTCAGAAATCTGTCATTTTCATTCAAGCTCATCGCTATTAAGATGCTTAATGATTCAGAAATGTAACCTCAAAAAAGAAAAGATGTACAATATCAAGATGTAGAGCATATACATGTACATATTATCTTTGCCTGTTTCTTAATGATCTAAGTTTTAAAAACAGTGCTGCATTCACTAGCATTATGTTCCTCGGTATACAAAACACATTCAGGGTTATATATGTTGGTTAATAAATGCAAAACTTATTAATTCATTGCCAATCAAACAGAAATTACAATATTAAAATTTATGAAATTTTAAGAAACCCAAGCAACTAGGTTATTTGTTGTCAATAATAATGAAAAAAAACACACCACAAACATTACTGAACTTATGGTATAAAACGTTGTTGTTAGGTGCTGTGAAGTCAACTATTAACCATAACAACCTTATGAACAACAGATTGTGGAACCTTGCCCTAGCTTGTACAATAGTAATGATTTTTTTTTAGAAAGACTTTCTCTTTTAATTCAATGAGTTCCAAATGAAAACATCAAAAAGATTGAGCCAACATCTAGAATTCCTACTCATACATGTATACTGCAAGACACTACCAAATAGGATTTTTTTGAAATTGGAAATCATTTCCCCCATTTTTGATGACATAACAAATGGGGATGGGGAGAATCAATGTGTCTGTAGTCAGCTGTATGGTTACTTTCCCAGACTGTAAGTAATATCATGAATTGGTTTCTCCCTTTCCTAATTTCAGTGAGGTTAAGTTACCCAAGTCAGATTAAGATTCGTAATACTTGCTAATCTTGTAGTCAGATGGCCTGGCCCTCCCCCAAACTCCCTAGAATTCGATGATTTTCTTTACATTTTAGGAGCTGGGTATAATGTCACGGGATTCCTCACTGGATTTGGTACCTCCTGGGGATACAATGCATCCAGTCTACCTCAGCTATAACACTGCCTGCATTTAGACACTGAATATAAAGCACAGAAACACAATGGTTTTGGATTTGTTTATTAAAAATGACATTTGTATTAAAAGTCTTAAAATGAAGAGACAACAGTTAAACACATGTCAGGAATTTAAAAAAATTTAACTAGTTGGAATCCTCTTGGTACAGCACAATAGTCAATTGTGCTCTCTGCTTATGGAGGAACATTCTAGAACAGTCAACCATTATAAAAATGAAAAAAAGGAGCTAATGCCTGAAAATGTGAACAAAATGATGGACACACACACAAAGAGACAAAAAAAGAAAATACAAAGCATGAGAATTAAGTTTTAAACACTGGAAATAATACAGAAATTCATTAAACAACAGGCTCTATTGTTTAGGAAGATTACTAAAAGGGAACCGGGAAGTGGATTGGAGAATAGCAGATAGTAGGTTATGGTGGGAAGTTCACAGGTTGGCACAGGTTGGAACAGGTGAGTTTTGAAGGCACTCTGCAAACACAAGGATGCTGGGCGCCCTGAATCACATTTAGGAAGTCTTTGTATGGTATTTTAAAGAGCTAGTCCTTCCCCAGTGCAGCTTCCTGTATCCTGGTGGAGGGTGGAGCTGGAAAGTAAGTGGGTCAAGGCTCTGGGCTAGAGGTGGGGTCAACACTGTAACTAAAGCTTAACTCCACAATAAGGGATTTCTCTTTCACTGCTCCATAAATTGCTTGTCTGTCAGATACTCCTCTAAATCTGAACATTCAGATTAAGACAGACTAGGAAGAAGGATTGGCCACCCACTTCTGAAATAGCAGGCCTCTGAAAACTCTATGCACAACAGAACACACGCAGACTAACAGAAAGGGCAACGTAGGCAGAACTATCAAGTATGGAAATACAAAGGAGGAGGAACAGTTGTAAGCAAACCCTAGTGACTGGAACATGGAATGTGAGAGCCATGAATATAGGAAAATTAGAAATTGTTACGAAAGAAATGGAACGTATAAATATTGACATATTAGGCACTGGAGAGATGAGATGGACTGGCATGGGGCATTTTGAGTCAGATGACCATATGATATATTACTCTGGAGATGAAAAGACAAGGAAAAATGGGG